TTTTAATTTTGACCTGGGGGAGGTCAGGCATGATACTGTTGCTGTATCGCCCCGCTGAACTGAGTTGTGTTCTTAAATGGTGTATTGAGCCAGGCGATGTTGTTCTGTGCACTCACTTAAGGTGAGAGATGGTCTTTAAGTAGACCGAGGATCCTGTATCCTAAGGGAACGCTCTTTTCTCCTATAAGCAAGGCCGTAAAGGTATGCTGGCGTGCAAGCGCAATATTGATGTTTTGGTTTTACAGTGGAGTTTTTGGTGGCCTGGTGGTTTTTCTTCTGTTGCTGATTTTTATTTTTAACAATAAAATTTTTTATTTTTTTTTAAGAAAATTTGTATTTAGATTCTGGTACAGAACATGATAGCATAATAGTAGTGTTTACAACAACTAAAAATTTGAACATTTTGTAAATGTAAAACGATGATCTGTGACGGAACATAAAAATCTTTATCTTCTTACTTTGGACAATTTTTTAGTTTGCAATGTAATGTGGGACATCACTTTTTACCGTTAACATATTGTATGATGAGAAAATCAGAAGATAGCTACCAAAATTTTTAAATTGGTTACGAAGGCACGAGTTAACAGCAGCGTCATGGTTTTTAAAACGTCGTTTTAGATTTTTAAGTTTCAAGTTATTAAGTTAATAGGCAATTTTTTTGTTGGCTTTAATTTCAAAGTTGCAGATTATGTTGGGACAAAAATGTAATAAGAATGCAACATTTACAATTTTTAAAAAATTTTATGTAAAGAAAATACTATCTTAAATTTTGTACCTATAAATAAAGTATTGGTTTTCGTGTGCGTTTATTAAAGTAATTTACTAATTAAAAACATGGAGGTTTTGAGACCTTTTGAATGGTTTTAACTCAATATTTAGGATTTGGTGATAGCAATAAAAGCATAGAATTTTAGAATATTTTAATATACCTACAAACATCATTGAGGGATTTTATTTGCATTTTAACTAATTCATATTGAATTTAACAATTTCTTTTTATCACATTATCAAAAAATAAATTATCGAATAAAGTATTGCGGTTTAAAAACCTAAAAGAAACATTTTTTAATTACACCTATGAGAAAATTGTTTATCCTTTATTTTTAAAATGCTCTATTTTAAAGAAGAGCTGAAAAAATTATTTAATAACTTTAGAGATAGTATTTTGTTTAAAAAATGCATTAAATGTACTGAAAATCTTCAGTTATACAAAGATACAAGAGTTTATTGTTCTAAAAATAACAAAGCACAGGGATTCAATTTTTTAAAAATTTAGTTTTGCTAATATAAAAAAGTTTTAAAAATCATTGGTTTGTTTTTTAACTTTGCACCTTATTAATTAATTGTACATATAAGCGAGTTATCACGAAAATGTGTTACTTACATTATTTATAAATTTAATAAAAGCGAAATTCTAGAGTTTATCCTAAAATTTTTTTTAATTTGGAGGAAATGAAAACAATATTAAAATAGGCGAAAGCAAATTCGGATAACGAAAATATTATAAAGGATACCATGTTGGTGGAGTGTAGATGTTTGGTTAAGTTGAACGAAAACTCGTAAAATTTTTTGTGTTTCAGTTTGAATTAGAAAAAAATACTTTGGAAAACATATTAAGGAAGTAAATTAAATTGTATAGTATAATATACTTTAACTGTACGGAAACTTATAGTTGAATATGAAGTATTTTTTATGTACATAGGACAGTTAATCATTCCAAAGAGTTTGTAAATAAATTAGCTAATGTTCACAAAACACCATTGAAGATACATGGAATGCTATAAAAATAAACATTCATTTTTGAAATAGGACATAAACAGTTAATGTATATTTATTACACTTTATGTTTTGCAGAAATAATGAGAAAACGACTCTAAAAATTTACTAATTAGTTCTTTTAGCTTAAAAATTTTAAATGTTATAAAATAAATTTGTATTAGTATGAACTATAAATTTTTGTTTTTTAACAAATTAAATCTAAATTATATAAAATTATAATTTTAATGAAATTTATAAGCTGAATATAGTAAAAACTTATTTAAAAATACTCCCAAAACTTTTTATAAAAATTTTTTAATTTTTTTTGTTTAAAATTTTAAAATAAAAAACTTTAACATGAATGTAATTAAAAAAAGTGTTTCTTTTAGGTACAATATCCTTTTTTATTTTTTTAAAATGTGTGTTATTTTCATTTTCTGTTTTTAATATCATTTTTTTTTGAGTATATTTCTTGTTGATTTAAAAGTATTAAATAATGCTAACAGTATTTTTTCACTTTTTTGTTCAATATTCGATAGTTCTCTGTATATTTCTTTTTTAGAAAGATATAGCCGATCTTAGAATGCAGGTTGCTGGTTTATAGAATACTTATTTAGTATATGATGGGTTTCTCGTCTATTTCACTGGATGTATTTTGTTCTACATCTAATATTCCAATAAATATTTTGTAAACGATAATAGATGTTGGTTCATAGCTGTAATAAAATTCTTTGCATTTAATGGCGTGTTACATAGTACTTCGACTCTATTAAATATGGTTTTGTTCATTCTTTTGTACTATTTTAAACTAGTAAATGACTCGATCTGCTTTCTATAAGTCGAAAATATTTGTATCTTTCGTAAATTTCAAGCAGCTTGTTTTGCTTTTGCAATTCTCATCATTAATCGCCAATTTTCTTTTTTTATCTCAAGGCCGACAACTTTCAGAAATTTTCTGTTTCGTTTATCACGATTTTTAAGACTCTGCAAACAGTTTTAGGCCATTTATAAATAACAAGTTGTTACATTGTAGTTTCTTTCTCTTGTAATCACTTCTATTTTAAGGTATAGACCAGGCCATTTAAACTTTTGCTGAGGAGACCAGTTACAAAACAAATTGTAGAGGTGATAAGTTACCTCCTTGAAATACTCCTCTATTTATCGTTTATTTATTATAACTACATTCTTTGCTCTAAATTCTATTTCGAAATTATAAATCTCAAAAAGGTTGTTATCCAAGAGCACATTCTCAGTGCTTTAATGCACTTTAAACAATATTTGTGGCAGACAAGTTCAAACACCTTTTACACGTCCAACCATGCTATTTTTAATTTACATCTGTGCGCTTTGTTGATTGTTATGTTTGTTTGTGCTTAATCTTTTGCTCTTTGTACTTTTTGCACTGTTCCCATTTAATTTTCAAATAGTATTCTTTTGCTTTCTACAAGATCTTGGATTGCAGCTGTATGACATTTCATAGTAAGCTTGTATAAGTTAGACATGCATGTTGTTGGTCTAAAGTATTTCCTGATGTTAAGGTTTCCTTCGAGATAATATAAGTTATTTTTATATAGAACCAGTCCTTTCCTTCTTTTCCGTCTACACATATACCTTTGATTATTTTAAACATATGTAGGTGTAAAATCATATGTTTTTGATAAAGTAATCGTGAATAAATTTGGGTCTGCTGCCTTCCGCCTCAGGAGTTTTTAACTATTTTATTAAATTCTCTGCGGTTTTAAATATTGTACCTCGCCTGTATTTAAATTAAACTCTTGTATAAATTCCTTATTTTGCATATTTCGTCCATGGTCTTTCTCGCCTTATTTTACCAAAAATTCTAAATTTCCTAATTGCAAACTTCGTGTTCTGCAGGTATTTCTCTTTTAGCATTCTGTAAATATTGACCTCTGCACAATAAAAATAGTGTGTTCTATTCCTCCACTCTTTTCTTTGCTTGCAGCTTTAATTTTTTTGTTATATACCAATACGCATGTGTCTAAAAATTATGTTGATTGTCTATTCTTTGAATTAATTAAACGCAATCTTTTGATTTCTGTTAGATCTTCTTTTGACACCTTCTCTTTGTTGCTTTTGTAGGTCTTGATGTTTCTGCTTGTTTCGAAAATTTGTTGATTTAATTTTTTATTGATTCTTTCCGCTTATTTAATTTTTTAGCTTTTGAGTAACTTTATTATACATATTCTGTGCAGATTGTAATGTAAGGGCAATGTCGGAAATGTTTTTAATTTTATAGTGCAGTAAAAAAATGCCGATGCACTTGTTTAACATTTCAACTCATTTAATTTCAATCTTCAGAGAACTTATTTTTTTTGTTAGTTAAATTTCTTTAAGCTCTTGTTTTCTAATAACTTAAAACACTTCCTTAAGCTCCTTTTTATTCTCTGCTGTTCAGCAGTCTCTTTTAATGACGTGGCTTTGCAAATTTCAACTAGCAACTTTATTCTCTTCACAAATAATTTTTCTTTAAATTGTTTTACTCTCATAAGACTTCCTGCTTTTGATTTTTCTTAAATATGACTTTAGAGATTTTAGTGTTAAACTCGTCACGATATATCGATATTATCTTCTCCCAATACCCTTTAGCATTTGGTTCCATTGTGTCAAGATAATCCCGCAAGCCTATCTCGGCCATTCCCCTTAGATGAATTAACTTCCATCAGTACAGCGACTTATAAAGCTTTCGTGTTTTAAGCAGAGAGAGGAGCTTCTATTTCTTGAATCATTATCTTGGTTTCTAGATACTTGTATACATCGTCAGAAGTTGCTGTAGGTAGTTTATTAATTTTTTATCCAACTACTTTATTTTTTTTCCTTTCATAAAGAATTAAATAAATAATATTTAATTGAAGAATTTTAATAAAAGTTTAATTTATTTTAAGCTAAAAAACAGAGAAATGTATTCTGGACGTCCTAGCCTGTAAAGAAGTAAACTCTTTTTGTTTTTTAATACAGGTAGGTCTAGAATATTCTTAATCCTTCGAATATCTAAGACAAATCTTTTTTAGAGGCGACATATCCTAATTTTTTATCTCCTTCATTCCAAATTCACACTTTAATAAATTAAGCTTTAAGCCAATCACCTTTAAATTTATCTAGAACCAGACACACATGCTTTTAATGTTCTTCCGCCACTTTATTGTAATTCCAACACGCCATCCGTATAAATTACTAAAAACCTAAACAAATGTTTTTTTAAAATATTATTCATTGCTATTTAAAACGCTGCTGGTCTATTTACCAGACCAAAGAACATTTTTGTAAATTCGAATGAGCATTCTCTGCATGCAAATATCGTTTTCTCAATATCTTGTGGGCGCATGTTAATTTGATGGTATCCTGATTCAGCATCTTGCTTCGTAGGATAAGCCGGCTTCCTCCAATGCATCTGAAAATTCATCACCTCTAGGCATGAGGTATGCTCCTTTATTGTAGCGTCGTTCAGTCACCTGTAGTTGATACACAATCTGCTTCCTCGATACTAAAATCACTGTACTTCTTCTTCATGAGCTTTCGACTGGCCTAATATTCTTAATTATAAATACTTTTTTACTATCTTCAAATCACCTCCTTCTTTTTGTCACCCAACTTGTAAAGTTGCACCATAATGGACTTACACCCTCCTGTATCAATCTTATGATGATATTTCAAAATACTTTCCTTATTAATTTTCAAAGATTCAATAGCTACCTTTCCTTGCCAAAATTTAATTGAATTTTGTATTTGTTTAATAACTTACATATTACAATATACGATATTCCAATGCCCCTTGTGAAAAAAAAATCGTCATTAAATACATCGCTCTCTAACTTTAGTTTCAAGAATATCTTCTTCAAAGACCCAATTGCCGATCTATTTGCAACTTTAAACTTTATCTTCATTTTTAATTAATTGTATCTATCGGTAGACATTCTGGTCTGATCAGATTGACTTTTTAGCCCCTGTGTCTATTAAAGTGTCAAATTTATTTAAACCTCTTAAATAGATGCTTTATTTACTGTCGTCCTCCTCACGTCTTTGTTTTAAAAAAAAATAACTAAAAATAAATTTATTTTACTTTGTCTCTACTTCCTTCTTCTTTTCACCCAATGAGCTTTTCTTGAATTTTTTTGACTTCATTAACCCGTCTAACATTATTTCTCTTTTTCTAAAAAGAGTTATATCTGCATTGAGCAATAATATGTCCCTTTTGATTAAAATCTTTTTTTATAATAAAAACTTTTGTTTTTTTTTATTTTTACTCCTTTTTTCATGGAATTTTTTGTATTATCCCGGATTTTTCCGTCTTTTTTTAAACCCTCTAAAAATGCTTGATCAAACTTCAGATTCTAAAATCAAAACTTTAGAAGTAAATTTAAAAAACAATTTGGGTTATAAAAGAACCATATCAAACAAATTAGATTCATTTCTGTCAGATCTCGAAGATCTAGAAAAATCTACAATTAAAATACCTATTTTTTTAGATTTATCGGATAAACAACTAATTAATCGCTATAATGCTTATACAAATATCGGCTTACTAATTACTTTTCAAAACAGTTTGACATCTTTGATAACTTGTTTACTAAAAATTGCGAGCTACTGACATTGCAAATAAATAAGAAAATCAAACGGGTAAAAAAGCATAATACAATGAAAGCTGATAGATACATTGATATCTTCAATTTAATGTTTTTCTTGGAATATTAATTTTGTTCTCTCTTTTTGCGTCAATAGGAATCAAAGAAACATGGAATGTAGCATCGATGACTTATAATACGTTAATATCAGCAAAATATTTTAAAGTAGATTTAAGTTTTTATATGCCAGATTTACATTTTTTTCTAAAAAGGATAAAAAGATAAAAAACAGGGAGAAAACAGAGATCTGAAGTAATAAAAAGAACTTTTGAAGCAATAGTTAGCTATAATGCTAATATGAACAAGGTAGATAAATATAATCAATCTATTTCATATATTAATTTACTAATAAAGACTAAAAGATGAGATCAGAGACTTTCTATATACTTTTTAGAAGTAATTGTACACAATACACATATTATTTGGAAGTTAAATAATATTAAAAAAAAGTTTAAGTATGATTTTTTTGTC